CACCTGGCTTCCACACTGACCGCGCCGGGGCAGACAATGGCGCACGCAGTGCCGCCAGCCCACGTGGAGCGGAGAGGCAAGAACAGGAAGGGCCCGAAGAAGAAAGCCCAACGGAGGACCCCATGGTCGAGGTGGACTTTTTCTGACATAGCCGACCTCTTCAAGCCGCTAAAACACAGGCCAAAACGCCACTAAGAAAGCAGGAACAAAAGAACCTTTAGAAGAAGTAGAAGACAAGACATACATACATACATACATACATTCATTCATTCATTCATTCATTCATTCATTCATTCATTCATACATACATACATACATACATACATACACACATACATACACACTGTATCTCCCTATGTGAAGGCGTCAATGTCGTGGGAGGCGAGAAGAGCCAGCCGCAAACCTTCTGGATTAGCAGGGCTGTGGGAACATGCACCATTCTGGGCAAAGAAAACAACAGAGTTGCTCTGTGTCAGAAGGATCGCAAGGAACAAGTTAAATCTGAAGGTCGCAGTGGCAATGGACATACTCATCGGCATGTGCGTGTTTGCCGAATGCACAACGGCTGCGAATGCTGGCAAATTGTCTTAGGTCTTAGCAACAAAGCGGCAACATCTGCAGCCCCAGAAATTGGTGTTCCAAATCTCCTCATCTCTATTTCTATAGCCTCGTTCTCACTGATGGGACATCAGACCACGCTTCCTTGTTCTTCAGGTTCGACTCGCAAGATCAAAGGCTCACACATAGGAAGTTGCGACAGCAATCAGGGACTGCAGCCACACTTGATCCAATATATGAGAGGTTGTGCCAAGGGTATATAATATTCTTGGTCAGGCCGTGCCTAGGGTCTTCCAAGCACCTAGTTCCAAACCCTTGGAAGAAAACTTCAGTTCTTTTCCTTTGCTTTTCTCTGAGTGAATGGTCCTGCGAAAAACTCTTCACGTAAAAAGGATTGACATGCCAGGGGTCCATGCACATATCAGCACTCCCCCGAGCTTCTTTAAAAGTTGTTTCCTCACCACCCAATGGTTTGATACCCTTTGTTCGGGCACTCCTGGCATTTAGCCATTCTCCCTGCATGAGCAAGGAGCACCAGTCCACTAGGTGATCTCGTAGGTCGAGCCCTTTCGAACGGCAAGTCATCAAATGGCAGCAAACATCTTGTTTCATTCCTGGTTTCCAGCTCAGCCAGATAGGCCTTGTAGTGACCTTTCCAACAATGTTCGCAAACATTGTAAACACAGCTATGCCGTATCACACATGCAGCCCAATTGACTGCGCTGAAACTCAAAATTGGGCGCAGCCAAAAACTGACATGTATGTTGTAGAAAGGCCCTTGCCCTCTCCCCTCCAAACCAGTTCTCAGCCGTTCCGGTTTCCATCCGTAGTGGGCCAACCAGGCCCTGTGGAAAAGCGCAACTTGCAATGTACCCATCACACTCCATGTCAACTGGCCAACGTGGCCTTAGGAACGCTACAGCCGTTTCCTTCTCATCTTTTTGCTATCATCACATGTTCAGCCCCGATTCCTCAGTTCGTGAGCGCAGATCGCAGATGTCACAGCGCTTTTCGCGGCCAGTGGCACAGGGACGAGGATTTGGGCTGCTGCTGTGGTAGATCTTGCCCCGCCCACAACACCATCGTAGCTCTCCTCGCCTGACATAGCTCATGTCGTTGGTGAAGCCGCGTTGATGACGCGGGGGTGAATTCCTCAAGACCAAGGAGCTCAAAGTAGAGCAGTACCTGAAGACATGATACTTCTCACCAAACTTCGTGATGTAGACACCCATACCATCATACCCTCGCCCACAATCCCCGATGGGCCTTGACGAGGTCCCACATCTCATCAGCTGTCATCTCCCTGTAATCCCTCTCTTTGGGGTCTCTTCTTCTTCAGGTGGATCGGTCTGTGGCAGTTCCTTCTCTGCTGGGACTTCTTGTTCTGGTTCTTCTTGAACCCCAGTGAGGGTCACATCAGACTGTCCTTGTGAGCTTGACGCAAGAAGCAGCTCTTGAATGCCGGCTTGCCGTCGCTCTTCCGACCCAATGAGCCAACCAACCTTGATTGGCCCGAGCAAATTAAATCCACAAGTCATCGGTGCAGCAAGTTCATAGGCCAGATCTGGTGGTGTTGTAGGTGGCTCCTCAGCCTTCCCCTGGCCCTTCCCTTTTCCTTTTCTTCTTGAACTGTCCCTCTTTACTAAGTTCCGGCGGATGTGGTTCAGAAAGTCACCCTGCATGATCTCCATCACTGGCTGCTGCAGTGGCGAGCCAGACTGGCAGCCTTCGAAGAAAGTGTTTAGAGAAGCGTGAACAACCGAAGGGTCTCATCATCCCTTCCACCTTGTGCCTTAGCCTTCGACAAGATGGCCATCAGGACTGCCAACTGCCATTGATGCTGGGAATGACAATTGTTTCTCCCTCTTCTTCCTTATTGCCTTTGGGTCACCCTCCCTTTTCTTTCCTTCACTTCCTTCCTGCAGAACAATCATCATGAACCCCTTCAACTCTCTAGTGTGCTGGACAGTGAGAGCCTTGGTGCCCAGGTCAGCGATGATCACGGATCCTGGCAAGTGACGGACCCTCCAATCCAGATTTTGTGATCTGCCATCGAACATTTTGAGCTCGAAGACGAAGATGCCGAGTTCGCCAATTGGCATTTACACCAACGGCGGCGAGGTTGTCAACAAACAGCGTCTTCTGTAGGGCACACTTCGTGCTCATTGATGAGACAACCAACACCATCACCTGTTTGTAGACCTTCAATGGCCTCAAGCAGCTCTGATTCAGCGGTGGACAAACAGGGAAAGCTTGTTTTCCACTCTTCCAGAACATCATTCCCCCCGTTCCAGGTGACTGTGACAGAGCCGTGCGATGCTTGCGTCTCGAGTCTCTTGATTGGCGGCAAAGCTGGAATCACTGAAGACTTCAAGCACCAATTCGCCAACCAATTTCTGGAGATCTTGTGTGGGTTCTTCTGGCATTGGCGTAGGACATGACGCTTTCCCCATAGGAACTTTCACACCCATTCCTCCCTTAATGCCTTCTTTATCTTTGATGTTGTCCTTCTGGGATGCGATGAACTCTCCCTTCGGACCTTTCTTCAACTCCTTTCCTAGGAACTTCACCTTGGTTTCGCTGTTGACTTCCTGCGCTGGTGAGGTTTCCCATTCGGCTTGAAGTGTCCTTGTGGTGATTAGAATCGTTGGTTCACAGCCAACAATCATCAAATCATGAGCACACCGCCATCGATGGAGGCCCCGGCGCCGAGGAGATTGGCGAAGACCATACATTTTGGGCCAGGTAGTATTCGTTGTGCTTGACATGGCCTGTCTTGATCAGAAGAGCAGGTGGTGAGAGGACAACCATGGTGTGGGATTTCCTGCTGCTCATCAAGTGGAGCATTCAAATGCTACTCGAATGTCCATAACTGTGGCCTTGAATTCTTCTTCAGGCGCCCTCTTGAGGACATAGCAAAGGCAAACTGCGTCAGCTCCAGGGGCATATATATAGGCAGCGATCTTTCTCTTCTTCGGAGTTGCGATCGGCAACATTTTCTTGATGGCTTCATCCCATTTTGGAGCCTCTTGGAGCCGTTCACGAGGGGAAACGACCCGGGTTCTCAGGACTGGTTCGTCTTCCTGCGTGACGGCGCTTTTCACTTTCTTCAGCTCCTCGAAGATGACGTCCATCACTTTCATTTCATCTTTCAACGCAATCACGCTCTCCTCCAGGATGATGTTAGAGATCTTTTCTTCATGCATTTTCCTTTCATTCAAGACCTTGTCATACTCCTCTTCATCTTCTTTCTTCATGCTCCTCAGTGTCATTTTCCCAGGAACCCTCCTTCGGGCAAGGTGCGGATCTTCTTCTTCTTCTTCTTCTTCTTCCGCTGCACGAACCACAACCATCCATGTCTCTAGGTTGGGTTCAGGTTCGGTGGTCTTCATGATGAATTATATAGAGCAATCGCAGTAGTTCCATCATCTCGTAGGACCAAGTGGCAATAACTAGCTCTTGTCCGAATGGTGGAAGATCACTCATGTCCTTGTGGATCACTCTTCATCTTTCCATTTCACGCACATAGTGACACGCGTGTGCCCACATTGAGGAATCCATACCCGCCATGCCAAGAAGTCGACGATGTGGCCCTTGATGGTCTGGATAGCCCTTTCGGCTCTTCCATTCGCTTGACTTGAGACACCTGTAGTGCTAGTCACTGGTAGTCAATTGAATGTCTCGAGATCTGCACCGCTGCTTCAAGGAGCAGCAACGAAGTTCACCTCCAAGGTCTGTGGAGACGTGAGACATGGTAGCCATGGATGGAGCTGAATGTGCATTTGCTGAATCGCTAGAGGATTTCCCTCTGATCTTGCAGGGCATGGGAATGGCCAAGCGATAGGTGATGATCTTCGGCTCTTCGGCTCTTCCTTGGCCTCCGCGTCCCAATCACCTTCAGCCCCTTCTACCGTGTCTTCCTCTCGATCATCCTCTTCATCGATTTCATCCCCTCCTTCTTCGTGAGCTACTTCTATCTCATCGCCATCATCTCGTTCTTGATCTTGATCTACCACTTCGGAGTTTTCAGCCTCCTCTTCATCGAAGTTCACCTGTCCTTCCCCTTCTTCATCTTCGTCCAGTTCAGGTACGTTGGGCTCATAACCTGTTGGTCAGGCATGGTCCTGTGCCTATAGGGTCTTCCAAACACCTAGTTCCAAACCCTTCGAAACATCTTCTCTGAGCTCGTCCACTCCATGTGAAAAAGGGCTGCGAAAAAGACCTTCGCGTAAAAAGGCTTGACGTGCCAGGGGGGCCATGCGCATATCAGCAAATATAGATACCCACGGCCGGAGACTAGCGCAACAGCTTGCGCCCCAAGCCCGGTGAACCCGGAAATACTTTTTGTGTCACATGGCTGGGAGCGGGAAATGGAGTTTCAGCTGGAGCGCAAACTTGAGCTTGGTTGCGTGGGTAAGTCTTCAGAAGGCTTTTCACCTGAGGACCCGATGGCTGCTATTTCACTCTGCCGTGGAGATCAGCCTTCAGCACAATGCCTGCTTGAAGGTCCGTGTGGTGTGGATTCCAGAATCGGACGCTTTGAGAAACTCAACTTTCCACTACTGTTTGATCATATAAGAAAATTGAGTAATCGTTGCGTACATATATTTACAGTGTCTTGGACACCCCGACTCTGAAAATTATGTAAGATACAAAATGAGCACAGGACTGTTTGAATGAAGCTGGTTGAAGTCCTTTGATGTGTCCTACTTGTTCGCGATTGTGGAAGGTGTACCCATTTCAGATCAACGTGTGATTCCTTGCATCACTGGACCAGACAGCTGTACGGAGTGGTCCTTGGATGTCACGGATGCAGGTGCGATGGGCATCAAAACGGACCAAGAAATGACAGTTGGCTGATTTGGTTTTTCGGCCTTCATCATGTTCTATCTACTGCCGTGAAAGTTTGGATTAAAGAATCTTAATATACACAGTTCCAACTTTGAGTTTGGTGTCAAAAGTTGCGCGAGGCAAAGACGCCTGCGGTCAGCTCAGCCTACGGGTGGAGGAAGGAGCTGTTCGTGCAGCGTCTTGGTTGAACAAGATGCTGTGCAACAGACACTGCCCCGCAGAAACGATTCTCATAGGTCTTAGTATCCAAGCGAATGATAACTTGCTCTTTCATCAGTTCATGCGTGCGTATTAACTAGGGATATCCCCCCTGCTTTGCAGTATATATATATATGGAAATATACACGTAGCCGCAGGGCTCGATCAGCCCGTACGCTTGGGTTTTCGGGCGCCCAGGGCCGACTGGACACGCGGGTGCCGATCGGTGTCGATAAGGGACCATTGTCTCTTCAACATCCGGGCCCGTGTGCACGTGGATGGACCCGTGCCGGAACTTCCAAAAGACGATGATAGCGTAGCTGTGACGGTGATGGTGGTGGCGAAACAGTACGTGTTTTGCAGGATGACACTGCAGATGATGGCCATGAAAGGGGGCTTGAGGACGGGGCTTTTGATGAGGATTAGGATGAGGATGAGGATCCTCATAATAATGTGATCCTCTCACACATGTATGACCATCATACTTTGTAACCCCGAACCAGGATGTTCATCGCTACTCTTTCTCGATCATGAATAGAACAACACATGAACCAACTTTTAATCTGTGAATATTTCTGGTAAGATTTTCGGTTTGTATTTCGTGAAAGGTAACCTATCCTTGTATACATACATCTGATTTAATCTATGTATTTCTTTCTTCTCTTCTCTGATCCTAATTGATCTAATCTTATCTGTCTATCTCCTGTCATGTTCCTGGTTGAAGTTTTTTTGAAGATGTTTCTTGCGCGGAAGCTTGGTACCTGGTCGTGGGAATGTGCGTCCGGTGAGCTGAGCTCGTGTGTCCTATCTATCCTGTTTGTCCTAGCTGTCCTGTTTGCCCAATCTATCTGATCTTTGCAATTGATCCAGTCTATCGCCTCTACCTGATCTATCTTTCCTCGTCTACTCGATCGAATCCATCTATATATCCGATCGAGCTACTCGATCGAGTCCATCTATAAATCTGTTCCTATCTACCGTCCACGTATCTTGCCCTTCCCTATCTCATCTGACCTGTTCTAGTTTGTTCTCGTCTGATCTCTTCATCATGTGTCCAATAACTCTCCTATCCAGGTAGCGTAGTTGTTCTTACCTTATCTTATCGTATCTCACCTTTTAGGTTTTCTTGTCGTTTCCTAGCTCACCTCATCTTATCTCACGCTTTCTTCTCTTCTCTCATCCTTTTTGATCTAACTAATCTTATCTGTCTATCTCCTTTCATGTTCCTGGCTGAAGTGTTTTAGAAGATGTTTCCTGCGCGCAAGCTTGGTATCCAAAATGTCGTGGGAATGTGCGTTCGGTGAGCTGAGCTCGTGTGTCCTATCTATCCTGTTTGTCCTAGCTGTCCTGTTAACCGAATCTATCTTATCTTTGCAATCGATCCAGTCTATCGCCTCTACCTGATCTTTCTTTTCTCATCTACTCGATCGAATCCATCTATTTATCCGATCGAGCTGCTCGATCGAGTCCATCTATAAATCTGTTCCTATCTACCGATCCACGTATCTTGTCCGTCCTTCCTATCTCATCTGACCTGTTCTAGTCTGTTCTCATCTGATCTCTTTATGTGTCCAATTTTTCTCGTCTTTCCAATGTACTTAGTCTATCTTCTCGATGTAATCTGTCTATACCCGTGTGAAATTTTTCGTACCTATTTACCTTTCCAGGTAGCATAGTTGTTCTTACCTGATCTTATCCCACCTTACCTTTTCTAGTTTTTCTTATCATTTCCTAGCTTACCTCATCCTATCTCATGCTTTCTTCTCTTCTCTGATCCTTTTTGCTCTAATTAATCTTATCTGTCTATCTCCTTTCATGTTCCTGGTTGAAGTTTTTTAGAAGCTGTTTCTTGCGCGGAAGCTTGGTATCCAAAATGTCGTCAGGATGCGCGTTCGGTGAGCTGAGCTCGTGTGTCCCATCTAGCCTGTTTGTCCTAGCTGTCCTGTTTACCCTATCTATCTAATTTTTGCAATCGATCCAGTCTATCGCCTCTACCTGATCTATTTTTTCCTCATCCAGTCGATCGAATCCATCTATATATCCGATCGAGCTACTTGATCGAACCCATCTAAAAATCTGTTCCTATCTACCGACCCACGTATCTTGTCCTTCTGTGTGTGGGCGTGGGCCCGTGAGCAAGCCCGTGGCCGTGGGCTCGTGGGCCCGTGCGCCCGTGGATGTTGAGCGGACGCTTCTCCGATAAGGGAGCGCCCGCGTGCTCTTCCCGGTTCTTGTGTTGGGGCGCTCTCTGGACCCGATCGCGCTTGTCGAGCCATGTCTGTGGCAGCTGTGGTGGACCTTGCTGACCATGTTCTGCAAGGCTTAACAAGGCAGAAGTTTTGATCATTGCTTGCTGACTGGGAGCAGCCTACATTGTTGGAAGCCTTGCAATGTGTTGGTGATGGGATTGAGGTGAAGCCCTTTGCCTTCCGCCCTGGATCTGGGTTCAGCTTTGACGGACCTTCCTGTCTCTGCGTGGGTCACGATGCCACACCTCGCACCTCGCTCCATTTCGATCGCCGCTGGAGTGCATGGTTCCCTTACTCGTGCCACCAAAAATGAGCGTCTACAATTTCAATTTCAGTATTGACTCCACTGTTCATTTTCGGCCAGAGCTGGATTGCAACTTTGGCTGGGGCTGTACTCATTTGTATTGTGGAGCCTTTGGGGGTTGGAACCAAGCTGTTGAGTGGATCCCTAACGCTGGAGTTGGTTTCTCCCCAGGCCGCCACATTTTTGTGGACAATTGTGAAGTGATTACGGATTTGCGCAGCGTCAAGCATGACGTGCAGGTGTTGAAATGCCGGCTCAAACAACACGAGGGCCCTGGAACCCTGCTGCAAAACTGGGAGTGCTCGGGGATGTCGCTGATCGTACATTGCCATTCGCGCGCCGCAGTCAATTGAATCTCCTATGTTCACTCTCCTCGCCATGCCAATCGTGGTCAAGGGAGGAAAGAAAGGCAGGAGGACTTTTGGACCTCAATGGATGGAGTTCTATTGATGCCCTTTGCCAAGTTCTTGCGCGTGCACAGTGTGTTGATGCAATCAAAGCACGCCCGCGCTACCCGCTTGTACAAAGCCTTGCTTGCGTGTTTGGGTATATGACCCTCTGGACACAGGTCGTCCCATGTCACGAGTTGTCGCACCACTATCGCTCTTGCTGGCTGTGTGTGTCTGTGTGTGGGTCCGAGCTGACATTCCTGCAGAGTGCTCGATCGCGCCACGTGTGCCTTGGTCTGATGCTAGGTGCCATTTCCACCTTCCCACGGTGTGGACTGACCAAGTTGGGTTGAGCGCCTCAGAAGCTGCAGTATATAACGACCCACAATTCCTGCCAACAGCGAAACGAGCCAAAGTCGGTGTGAACTCTCGTGCCAATGCAGGTCTTGCAAGCCGTGTTAATAGCCATTATGCGAAATGCGTGGGAGCATCTGTTCGAACAAGGACCCTTTGTCCGTCTTTGTCCCATCAGCTGTGCGCACAAATGGCTTTCGACTAATCTCCGATTCTCCCCTCCTCACCATGCTGGAGTTGATCTTCGCGCCAAATCCGAGTGTGTCATCGACATGGTCCTGCTCAATGCGTTCCGACTTATGCATTCGTGGACTTTCCATTATACAGTACGTGAGCTCGCAGCCATTGCTAAAGAGTCGAATCTTTGTGTGCGGGATTGTCAGCTTGGCGCCGGCGCAGTTCACTGTCAACTATGATGGAACTTCGCCTACCATCGCCATGCCTGGCCCAGTGCAACAGCCAATCTTCTTGCAAGCGCCTGGATGCCTTGAGAACTTTGGAGCATTGCCGCGTTTGGGAGTCTCCAAGCGATTGAGTTTGAGCGGTCAAATGCAGGGCACATTGTTCACATCTTGCACTACGCAAGCTACCAGGGTCTGTCTCTGTGCTTTGCAGTCCTTCGAACTACGAGGTTTTGCTTTCTAGCATTCGTGGTCTCGCTCCCAGTGGGAGAGTTGCAACTTCCACTGCCTTTGACGATCAGTGGCCAAGCCAACTACACAGCAAGGATCATTCATGTCTTTCGACTGCCAGAAAATGACCAAGTCTGCGCTGTTGCTGGCACTGCGCCTCCCCACTATGACATCCTTCATGCTGTCGTCACAGCGCCATGGAGCTCTTTGCCGACCTTCGCCTTGACTGGAACCATCTTCGAGGTTCAGCAAATCACTGGCATCCCCGTGGCGCAGCGCGATGAAGCTCTCCACCGAGGCACTATCATCATCCACCTCCAACGTAGCTCTGACATTTGCGCAGGAGGACACCACCTTGCATCAGGTGCTACACCCGCTCAATGCTGGGGCGGACTTCCAGGCAAGGACCGAGTTTATGTGCGCCACTCACGGGTGGATTGCCGCAGACGAGGTTTGGAGCATCGCGTAGAATCTTATGTTCATCCAAGATCATGTCCGCTTCACTGCCCCTGTTTACTGGAACCAACTTGGAAGGGACGGGGAGCTTACCCTGTCTCCATTCGGAGAGATCATGCTCTTCAACAACACGACAAACGTCCTTTGTGTGCTCGTCGACGACCACTGGGCTGCCATAGAGATCTTCAGATCTGAGATGACAACGTGCGCCTTACGTTTGTGCAGATGCCACCTCACCTGCGTACACCAGCCACCTTCATCGTGCCCAGGCTTTTGGACATTGCGCCGCGTCGCCTCACCACGTCCAATGAGCGTGATACTCACTTGCCACACCTTTGCGGATGGAGGCTTGTCCAACGCTGGGTGCAGCGTTTCGACCTTAAAGACGAATTCCAGGTCGAGGCTTTCCACGGCGTAGCTGACCATTCCGTGACATCATCCATCTCACACTGGAATGCCCACTTGAAGGCTGGCAGACGTACAATGCACCACTTTCGCTTGTCCAGCTTGCTGCAAAGCTCCGCTCCAAGTTCTTGATCTACCTCGGCTTTCCCAGTGAGGTTGCCACCTTTATCCTCGGCTCTGCCGACTGATGAGATGGACTTCTACGCTGGAAGCAGCGCGTGTCATTCTGCCTGCAACACTCTTCTGCGGATTTGGAGTGTGGAATCTGACCACATGATCAACTCCCTCACGCCGGTTTATATGGATACACTCATTGTCATGTGATCTGGTTCATCCTCCACAACAATCATTGGCTCCATTTCGAGTGCTATTTGCGTGGCTGTGATTCGGCGTTCATTGCTTCTGTCCCAGTGCGCCAGCAAGGAAGTTATGGCCCTCTCATTCAAAATCCTGACGACTCAGATTAGCAATGACCACAATCGAATAGCGGTGGATTTTGTAGACCAAACGATGCCCCGAGAGTTATGTGGTTACCATTTGCTTGCCAACATCTTCTACCGCCTCGGTCTGAACGCGCCTCCACCACTCGACCTCTCCAATGGTCAACATGGTCCCCTCATCCAGCGGGTCCGCCAAGAGGCCAGGAGGGTTTGGGTGCGAGCGGAAGGCCAGACTTTGTCATTTGCCGCCAACATTCGCGATTAGTATCTCCTTCGAGTCAAGGGCAACAGATTTGCTGGCACGTACTGCGCTGCAGGAGCCATTGACAGCATGGATGTTGAGACTCAGCCTGGAATCAACCCATGCAGACCCACTGACGCCGCATCCGGCCGGTGCCGTTAGTGCGGCCCCAAGGACGTGACTCGTTGTCGCGCGACAATGACCCTTGGGTGCGGAAGGTGCCTCGACCAGCGCTTTTTGGGGTCTGACGGCAAGCCCACGATCCAGACGCGCCGCCTTCAGCTTGGGCCGCACCGAGGCGGCGTTGTCCTCCTGACCAAGTCCTTCATCTCAGAAGTGTCCAAGCATGCTGGGGCTCCCAGGACCTTGCGATCCTCCTCTGAGTTACTGACCAGATGCATCTACCACATCTTGCAGCCAAGCTTGAAGACCTTACGAAGTCGCGACGCACGATGAGACCGCAAAGATCTCTTACAAGCGCCTCACTATAAGTTGCCTGAGCCCAAGTGCAAGATCACCACCCAAGCCATCTGTGAGCTTGTCCTCGAGGTTGACTCACGGCTGTGCGCCAAGAGTGACTATGAGAAGATCAAGGATTCCCCCATTGCCTCCTTCAGGCTTCAGGGACCTGCTTTCACAATTTGTCACTGTTCCGGACGCCTCCATCGTCCTCTGTGGCTATAGGGGTCACTCAGCGCCCAGGCGCACCCAAAGGCGATACCATGTTGCAATGAATCGTCAAGGCTCCGCAACCACTGCGCTCAACGCTGCTTGAAGCAAGTGGGCACTCCACCCTACTTGGCAGGGAGTTCCTTCAGCGTGGTCAATGTCACCATGTCCATTTGGTCCGCAAATGTTGGTTCCATGCGTACAAATTCTATTTGGAAATCATGGGGAGCTGATGTTTGTTGCCTTCAGGAGACCCGCGTTGGTAAGGCGAACCTTTCATCCAACACCCTTGCCATTAAAGCTCTTGGACAAAGACTCACAACTAGCGACCCGCAATGGCGCAACTCTGGTGCTATTACCCCCTGGGGCCTGGGGTGGTACTGCCATTTTTGCTAGTGAGCCCGTCATCCAACCATTCGACCCGACCATTGACCACACGGGTTGTTATGTTGGTTTGTACCGTACTCAGAGATTGAATGCTGCATGGGTTCAAGTCACACCCAAATGTCGTGCCTTGATTGTTTGTGTTTACGCCACCACTGGCGCTTCACAAGACCCGGCTGTCCATGCAAAGAATGATGGTTTATTATTCGCAGATCTTTTTGATTTCATCGCACAGTTCGGCCAAAGTCCAATACTTGCGGGCGATTTTCAGGCTGACCCTGCAAGTTACCCGTCAATCGCCAGCCGCCTTGCTTTCCAGAACTGGCGCGACCCTGTCGCCACTGTTGATGAGAACGGGTTCTCTACTAGACCAATCACATTTTCCCGTGATGGGTTTTTTTCGGGTGCTGATGATGCTTCCTCTTCAATTGACGCTGTTCTTTTGTTGAAACCGCTGAGTAGATCGCCAGCATAGGCCCCTCAAACTTACCTTTCGTTGGGCTACAATCGAACAGTTCGGTTTTGTGCGCCTCAAGAGTGCCCCCTTTGATCCAGCCTCGCTTGACAAAGCTCAGTGGGACCCGATTCAATTTCCGGCTGGCGTGAGTTCCAGGATAGTTAGTTTTCCGCTTCCGACGGTGAAACCAAGTGGTCCATTGTTAATGATTTTCTCTTTCACTCTCTTGGTCCAGACCGGAGCTCGTTGGAAAGACGGGCCTAAAACCAGAGGTAAGGAACCCACCTTCGTTCCCAAGAGGGTTGCCCCGAAGCAGCGCCAAAACTTTTGCGCTGCCACGAAGAAGTCAACCTCGCTGCGCAAGCTGCTTGGCCGGTTGAATGAACTATTCTGTCGACTCACAAGGGAGCCCACAGGATTTTTTCATTACCAAACACACGGCCTACCATGCGTTTAAGGGACTCCTTCTACACAAGGCACCATTCGTTTGGCACTGCCCTAACCAAGCTACCTTGGCTGAAGTTTTTCTTGCGAGACGTTGGGCTGAATCTACTGCAGCCCTTCCACGCTGACACAAACTTTCCAGAAACCTGAGTCAGGCGTGTGGCTAACATAGACCACTTCCAGGTTTGTGGAAAGTTTGTGTCAGTGTGAGAGTGGAAGTGGTCTATGTTAGCCACACGCTTGACTCAGGTTTGTGGAAAGTTTGTGTCAGTGTGTGGACCAGGGACTGAGAGTGGAAGTGGTCTATGTTAGCCACACGCCTGACTCAGGTTTGTGGAAAGTTTGTGTCAGTGTGGACCAGGGACTAAAATTGGAAGTGGTCTATGTTAGCCACATGCCTCACTCAATATCTGGAAAACTTAGTGTCAGGTTGGACCGTGGACTGAGAGTAGATCTTATATGTCCCAGGAATGCGCCGTTTCCAGTGTGCCATGTTGGCCCCCACCGTGCTAAAATAGTTTTGCACCTGCAGTACTTCGGTTGAGACTAACGTAGACCATGTTCAGGAGGCCCCTACAGGTATGTGACATGGTCCATGTTAGCCGCCACCGGGCCATGTTGATCTCTACCGGCGCGGTCTATGTTAGCTTGCGTTCAGTTTATAGTCAGAGTGCAGTTGGTCCATCTTAGTGTCAAAATCGATCATAGACTGAGAGCGGGAACGGTCCATGTTAGTGAGGGTCCAGAAATTACCCAAAAAGGCGCTAATACCGTTTCCCCAGGAAGTCACCGTTTCCAGTGGTCCATGTTAAAGCGCACTTGAAATTGAGTTACGGTCTATGTTGTTTTTCCCCGGAGTACCACCACTTGAAGAACCGTGCCCAAGATGAGCCTCCAAATGTTGTGCTCGATGAACATAACAACATTATTTACCAACCAGAAAAGGCTCTTGATGCCCTCAATTCGGCTTGGGATGTCATTTTTGCTGCGAATGTATTGTGTGAACATCCGCTTCGGGTCTTAGAAACTGTGTGGCCTCAAATCCATGATAAAGCAGAGCCTTTTTATTGTAATTATGCATGTTTTTGATGAACAAAACCTTCAAAACTTTCTCAGGCAGTAAGTGTATTCAACAGGTGAATGGAAGGTTCGGAAAAGATTGAGAAGCGTTGTGAAAGTTCTCAGTTCTCAGTTTCTTGGGTCTACTGGTTAGAATGCATTTTGGTGACCGCTGCGCACGCTGTTCCTTGAAATCCTTTTCACCTCTTGTTTGGTTTTACTAGCCTCGTGGTTCAGCTGATCTCTTTCAGCATTCTCTTGGATTGTTGACAGCCTCAGGTCATGTTGCTTGCCTCATGCTCTTTACAGGGCGATTTGCATCATCCTTGTATGCATGCAGTTCATTCTGTTCATGGGGGCCTTGCGTCGTTTTTGTTTGCGTGCGCCAAGGCTTTCTCTCACTGCGTATATAGATATTCTTTGCCTGTTTCAACTGTTTCTGGTGGTTTTGGTGCCTTGTAGGCCGTTTGTCAGGGAGGCCCTGCGTTTGCAAATCAACGCCTTGAACTATGTGGTTAGAAACAGAACAGTAAACAGATCAAAAAACTGCGCAGTTTCTAGAATTTCCAAATTGTTTTAGATCCTTCCCCAATTCCTACATTCCTTATATCCTTCTCCAAGTCCTACAGACACCACATTTCCAATTGTCTTTTTTTGCTTTGGGGGTTATCACATTTTGTTATGCGGATTGGGCGTGAGTCTGGGAATAGTGAGTCGTCTTGAATGGAAGGTCAGAAACGAGCACATCACGTCCCATGAAAGCCTTGCATCAGTATCGCATCCCATTCCGTGCGGAAGTTTCGATGAACCTTCCAGGCCGCTCAAAAGATGTCAATGTCATTTGTTGTGTTTTCTTGCAAACGAAGATGTGACATGACATGGTGCGACTTTGTCCTTGGCGTCCACGGATGCTAAAGTCGTGATGGCTGCTTCTGCTAGCATGACACGGAGAACAGATACAAACAGAACGGCCAGAACTGCCTTTGGCTGAGTCTAGCCTGCCAAAATGCTGCAGGCCAAAATGCCTGGAACTGAACGACCCTGTTGTCCTTGAGCCAGGCGTGGGAAAAGTTGTGAGACTTGTGAGAGTTCATGACAGTCCATCAGAGCGGGCGAGAACTTGTTTCGCTTCGGTCGCCACAGCCAGTTTTGCAGGCCAGTCCAACTTGAACTTTCAAGTCGACCTACGTGGAGGACACATTGACGTGGTCACAGCAGACTCCAGAAGCAGCTTTTTGGGTGGATTGCGAAAAGGGGCAAAGGATACACCTTGCGTGCCCTGGCTGATCAAACAGTGTTTACAGTAATTTTGGGGACATCTACGGTCAATTTGCTTGTCTCCCGGACATGGTCACAGCATCACCATTTAATGCCCGCCAAGGCAATCATTCCAAAGGTTGCAATGAAGTTTTGGAATGGCGCGGAGCGGGTCCTTTACGAATACGTTCGTCAAGGAGGTCAGCTCTATGTCACCGGTGGCCTGGGTCCTCAGCAATGGCGGTGCAGAAGCAAACGAAGAATCTGAAACATATCTTTGGAGAGCAACACCAGTTCTAAGGTTCCAAGACTAATATGCAATGACTAGGGTAGCTAGACTACGTAGATTGCGTCGGATGAGGCCACCACAATCGAGAGATCCTCAGAGATGTTTTTGGCTTGGATGTGCAACATGGCCATTCGGGCAACGTGCGCTTGGGTGGCACGATTGTGAACGTATGTCTTTCAAGACAAAGTCTACCCACTTCTATGCTAGCCATTTTATATTGCCCTCTAGCACAAGTGGTGGGGAAGGGGCCGCGTACTAGATGGCGAAACAACGCACTAATTCAATCGATGTGCACGCGTGCGAGTTGACAGCAGGCAGTCCGCAGGTCCTGAGGCAGCCAAGCGTGTGAAGATGGATTGACATGCGTTTGGTCCTTGCGAGCCGATGGTGCAACCTTTGCTGTCCACAAAACTCAGGTTGACATGACATGACCAAAGATGCAAGTGCTGCTTATGCAAAACACTGATGCGGGAGGAATGCGATGAATGGCGCACAATACACAACAAACGGCTTGATTCTTTTGAGCCGCATTCATTCAAATTGTAGTCATGGCCATGTGCGTGAATGGCTGCATGGATGAGGGCAAGCTCATCCTTTCCTACAACAGAGGGGAAGGAAGCCCTGAGGAAGCAGAAACTGAGAATCAACTCCATGCACAAAGCCACCCCAGCACTCTGCAAGAGGCTTTGACCCCGAGTGGAAAAATTGAAAAGGAGGAGCATGCTTGGGCACGTTCGAAACCAAATTATGGGATCATTGCTTTCCATGCAAGGGCAGACATCTTGGGCATTTCTTAAAGGATCGGGTTCTTCAAGGTCCTGAAGCTGCCTATGAGCAGCTAGATTACCCAGGCTGCGATCCCATTAGGCAAGTGTCCAGTGCAATACTGTTCATCGCAAAGCTAAGAGAAGGGATCGTGGGATGTTGACAACTTCAATGGTCATTCTTCAATCCTTGAGTGCAAGACTTTTAACAGGAGAAGATCAACTCGTGTCACTCGGTGATAGTCTTTTACTGAGTCGAACTTAGTGGGAAGCTTGGCAAACCTGCTGTCTGAGTCTAGTGCGCAGCATGAATCCAAAAGCGAAGGAGGCGAAGCAGTGATCCTTGGCACCTTCTGATTCTAACCCACACCAGGGACAGGACGAACTGACCCGCGCCCAAGCAGCACGAAGACACATACGGCACTCATAAGTTAGAATTTTGCCACAACCCTCGTGAGGGAGAGGCTGATCTTTCTTAGGATTTTGGCAAATGCATCTTCTGTGAGCATCGGCTAACAGTCAATCTTCCGCAAAAAGACACGAGCTTTCCGAGGGTAAATGAAACACGGACACTTGGTGAAGGCTGAGACAAACTGAAGCCGTGGGCCGTGGGCACAGTAAGCCACGTCCTGCTGAAGTATGAAAGTGTGCGCCCAAATTCGATAACTCAACAAGAATTGTGATCATCCGGATACAGCTTGGGTGTTCGGGGCAGCTCTATGTAAAGTTTGGCCCGCATATGTTCCAATCCGGACATCCATCGTCAAATGAACGACGCGTACAAAAGATTGCAGAAGGCTATCCTGCGAATGACAGACTTACGGAGCGAAGGTCTCTAGCTTCTACTTTCGTCACACTGTGGCTAGCAGTAATTGAATGCAAGTACAGAGAATTACTCATCAACAACATCTGATTGATCGAAGGAGAGGCAAGTCACCCCCGCGGCCAGATCAGAATTGTGAAAGAGCATGGATGGCCCTCGGACATGTGTCACTGTTGTCGCCGCAGGCGCCTTGAGCATCTGGCTTCGAGCCAAACAGTGTGCGAGTGTTCTTGGCCCCTTAGATTAGGTGTGTTTGAACCTCCGCTGTTTAACAGTGGCAGCGGAGCTGTCGACCCTCGTGCCATAGCGCTGCCCTGCGTTTGGACTTCGCTAGTGCTACTTCGTCTTCTACGTGCTGACGGTCTTTGCTTTGGCCTGCTGGCCTCGACTTCTTGCGTGTTGGGCTGCTTCGCCCAACTTGGCCGTGCTGGCCTGGCTTTGGACAACTTCGACTTCGTGGTCTGGACTACGTCTGAACTACAACGTGGACGACCTGGACACGGACTTCCCTGGTGGCGTAAAGCCTTTCCCTTTTGAGGGGTAGAAGGTTGCCTGGTGGCGGGCCACTTCAACGTGGACTTGGAGACGGAGAAGATGAGTAGGATGACCGAGGCTTTGACAGCTACATACCGGTCTGGGATGGACGGAGCGAGGCGCTTCGAGAGTTCAAGAAGTCCGTCCAATGGTGGTTGCACTCAATCGACCTAGAGAAGACCACTTCCTACAACCTGGCTGCCCGCTTCGCAATGAGGCAGAAAGGAAGTGCCAACTACGTGCGCTGGAGTTCGACCCAAAGGAACTTGAATACACTCCAGCTGAGAAGGTGAAGGATGATGAGACCGATGAGATGATCGAGATTTCACCCGCGGTCTACGACGCCGGAATCCAGAAGATCCTGGCCTCCTGGGATGACATGGTTGGGAGGTCACAGACAGACCGCAAGGGTGAGCTTCGGGAGAAGTACTACCTGCAGCTTCGTCGTGGTGGCAGTGAAAGTGTGCCGAACTTCGCTCTTCGGTACAGGACCCTGATCGGCGAGATGAAGGCCGAAGGAATCACTGTGGACCCCAGCGAGCAGGCATGGTTCTTCAAGCAAAAGCTTGCCCTCACCGAGCTTCAACGACAGATGTTGGAGACCACCCTGGGCGTCGAGACCGAGGACTATGGAGCCTGCGAACGAGAGGCAGTTCGCCTCTTCAAGAGAGTCCATTTTGGACCTGGCCATGGACATGGAAGCCAACACCGCGAAGGCGGACATGGGAGCTTTAAACGACCTCCTTCTTTGACGGCTTCTACTTTGTCCAGGTTTCGCAGGAGTTTCCCTTCGACTACATCGTCTTCTACCCCCTCCTGGAGGCGTGGCGGAAAAGGCTTTGGTGGTTCGGTCAACGTCACTGAGTATGACGACGAGGTGACGGCTGAGAACGAGGCCTTTGAAGCTGAAGGAGAACCCCCAGCTGAAGAGGATGACGGTGGTGCAGCAGATGCAGAAAGCCTAGCTGGCTTTGAAGGACTTCAACAGACCATTGAGGCCCTTGCGACAGAGATTGATGAGTTGGCTGATGGGTCACAAGGCGATGCGGCGATGATGACCTTGCAGCCATTGAGGAGCAAGTGGAAGGTGCAGTTGAGGCATTGGTGACCCTTCGTGAAGCGAGGTCGCAAATCAATGCCCTCAAGCGAGATCGTGGTTTTCGTGGACCTGGTTCGACTGGCTTCAAAGGAGGCAAAGGTCGTGGCAAGAAAGGTTCAGGCTCAAGCCAAAAGGATGGCAAGTGCTTTGCTTGTGGTCAAACTGGTCACTGGCAAGGTGATGCTGAATGCCCTGCAGCAGGCAAGAGCATTGGCAAAGGAACGACGCCAAAGTTCCCAAGACCAATGCAGAAGCCTGCAACTTCATCGTCGACTACCTCACCAAAGTCTTCGAACTACAGGAGTGAAGCGCTCATGGCTGAGGTGAATGTGGTTGACCTGTTGGCAGGAGCTCAAAATGTTTCCTTTGACTTGGAGCCCACCATCCACGAGATCAATGTGGTTTCTTCCTTGTCTGAGGCTCTTTCGACAAGCACAGCCAGTGCAGTGGGCCTTGACCCAGACAAGCTCTTCGTGGCGGCTTTGGACTCCGCATGCAATCGGAGTTGCGCCGGAGCTGAGTGGTTGGCTCACATGAAGGATGCCTTGGAGAAAGCCCCTGAACCCATCAGGAGCTTGGTTGATGAGAAGCCTTGCCGAGACTACTTCAGGTTTGGCAATGGGGGTGTCTTAGAAAGCCTAAGAAGGCAGAGGATTCCTGTCCTGGTGCGAAACCAAGTGGTCCTCCTCTGGTTCGCGGAGATCCCATGTGCTTCATTGGGGTGCTTGCTTGGGAAGGACTTCTTAGAGAGCTTAGGGGCGACTTTGGATTTTCCCTCCAAGAAGGTGCAACTGAGGTATGTCAGTGATGGTTGGATTCCCCTGAGCAAGATGAGGGCTGGACACTTTTCCATGAACCTTCTCCCCAAGCCCCTCTCGTCGTGGCCGACGCTCGCTTCGCAGTCTTGGCATGTCGTAGGAGTTGGAGGTTGTTGCGAGGTTCAATGTGAAGGTCGAGTGTCATGGAAAGCTCGCAATCGTCTTGTCGACCGTTCGAGTGATGCTGATGGTGACTTGAACACGGTTGCGCACTACATCCCGGAGTTCTTCAGCTCAAGCAAGGCCTGGATGCCTGGGGAAGATGCTGCCCAGCCCGTTCGACGTCCTCACCCCGGTGGTGTCGCGATGGCAGCGCTTCCTACTTCGACTTCAGGCGAGGAGAACATGGCATTGGAAGGGCGTGATGCTTTGGCTGGTTCAGCGACCTTTCCTTCGCTACATGCCGGCGCCCTTGCCAGTGGTGACGACTTCGGAGGAGTGGAAAGCTCAGCTGAAGGGCATGGTGAAACGGCATGCGTGGCCGAAGCGCTGGCAACCGAAGGCGATGGAGTACATGTCCCTCGTCCACCTCAACGAGGCCAAGGTTCTTCGGCAGAGGATGGGACTGGAGGAAGCCTTCATGGAAGACGAGGCGGTGATGTTCGGAATCAAGGCTCTGAAGAAGCCGGACAGAGCTCGCCAGCAAGCCGCGCTAGTTCAGGCAACTCACCAAGCCATCGCAGAGCTGGATGGCCGGAAAGAAGATCTCGCCCGGGAGCTTCTCGGACCCCGAGGAGGAATGCCCCGGACGAAGGCGGACCTGGTGAAGTTGGCGGTGCTGTTGAACGTGGTCGTGGATCCCAAGGACACCATCGAGCAGCTGAAGGTGAAGATCAAGCCGCTAGTGGACGCAGTGATGGGGGAAGCCCATGGCTCCTGCCCACAGGCGAGCCAGAAGCAAGACGGCGTTGACGACCCCGGACGCCACAGTCAGCCTGGGACCACAACAGCAGCATCAGCACCAACAGGACCAACTCCACCAGTCCCGACTGCGGTTCATCCTCACCCAGTGCCGTGGGGACTCCAGATGAGCCCGGATGGGCAGGGCCACTTTGCCCACTTCAACCCCCACACCCGTTCAGCTCAGGACGGTTGGGTACTC